GTGAGTGCATTAACTTATCGCCAGATATTGAAGACGTTATTCCACTCCGAATCCTATGCTTCAGTCCGTCTTCTTTTAACTGCAAATTCTCCGCTCGAATCGATACCAACTCTTCCCGTAACCGCTTATTCTCGTCCTTTATTTTCTTCAGATCGTCCACCGATTCCATCCCCACCTCCTCAGCAATACTCTATACAAATGCAGACAATCATCACATTATTAACATATTCATCAACACCACTCTAATCAACAATAATAGCCATAGAGTGTAATGTCAAACATACATCGATTATTAAAACAAGTGTCAAATCTCATGTATTATTCAACTATTCATGTAATAAATGTTTAATGTGTTGTTTTGTGTGTTTTATGTTTATTTAGTTTAAAATGTCATTAAATAATTAAAACAAAAATTAAAATATATATTTGTTAAGTGAATATAAATTTCAAAACAAAACAGGAAATAAAGCCACAAATGAAAGCAATGGCGACGGGAATGGTCTCAAAGATTACCGCATTATTGGTGTTATTGTGCGAATTGGTCAGAGCGGAGGCGTTGGTGGCCACAGAGCTCGAGCGGACTGGTGTCTCGTTGGAAGCGGGCATCACATCAAACACACACTTCAACTTCGAGTCCATAATCGCTTCCGGATTCACTTCTTTCCACTAAAAAAACACCACAAAAAACACAAAAGCCATTAATGAATGAGCTGTTAATGTTTGTAATAGCCTACTTGCGAATGCTCACACAGGACTAACTGCAGCGGAAGCCCGCGTTTGTATCAGACTTGGTATTTGAACACAAACAAAAACAGCAAGTTCAACAGATTCAGATGCCCAACATTGTATTGCCGCTACGTTGTGTTGCCCAACGGCTCGATGAGGCCGTTGTTGGGTCGGACGCAGTACCGCTTCGGCGCCGTTGTCTTCACTTTGAAACACACGCGACGCTCAGACGGGTTACTCAGCTTCAGGTAAGACGTGACCACATCCGTGAACGGACCTAATCGTCAGTACAAAACATACACACAATTAAAGCATTCAATTAAACGTCAATTCATTGGTAACCAAAAAATGTCAATAAATAATAATGGCTTTCAAACACTAAAAGTACAGTTTCGGTGCCATTTGTGTAGACACTGAGCAATGCTTTGGCAATGCGTTGAGTCAACAAAAATATCGCTAAAAGTGATGACTAGTTATATGTAAACCAATTCAGACACAAACCATGAATGAAATGGTTTTGGTTTCAATTGTAATCAAATCAATGGTTCAGACCTTTGAAGTGGAGCTCCTGTTTGGGGTCGAGGACTAACACCTGATCCTGTTTTGCCATCTCTTCGGCCGTTGTTTTGGTCGCTATTTATATGAATGTGTATTTCGATCAACAAATCAATGGCTTTACTCTATGACAGGCATTACACACATTGACAGCCAATACAACGCAAAGCCGTTACAACACTAACCACTCGTAGAGCACAACTCCACACATCTCTACAACCATTCAATCCTCCACTCAATGCATGCAATATAGCGCTCAGCACTGCGTCTGCGCACAACTCAACACATCATAACAAACACATGCTTTCAAATCCATCACACAATTAACACATCCACTCACCACTCAGTGTCGCCCAAGACATCACTTCCAACACATCCACTCTCACCGACAAGCCATGCGTCCGCTCACCGACGACGAGACTGTAGTGCTCTTTGAAAAGCTCACCAAATAGTAAGCGACCACTGATTTGATGTTTATGAACACTAATTGATTGATTGTACGGTCAGTATCGGTGATAACGTACGGCTACTCATCTCAAGACCCGATGGGATGTACTGTTTTCGTCTGCATTGCGATCGCGTCTACTATTGCAGCGAAGATATGATTAAATTGGCGTCAAATATAAGTCGAGACAATTTGATCTCTTTTGGCACGTGTTTCGGCAAATTCACCAAAAGTAAGAAATTTCGACTTCTGATGACAGCACTGGACTTCTTGGCCCCGTATGCGAAGGTATGTCACCCCACGAGCGGCACCGCACGGCCCGCCATTCACTAACCCTTTGGTCACTGTTTTTGTAGCACAAAGTATGGCTCAAACCCAACGCCGAGCAGCAGTTTCTTTACGGCAATCACGTATTGAAGTCAGGTTTGGGTCGCATAACGGAAGGGACGCCACAATATCAGGGCGTTATTGTCTACTCGATGAACGACTTGCCTCTGGGCTTTGGTGTTGCGGCCAAATCGGCCCTCGACTGCCGTATGGCTGATCCCATGACGATCGTGATGTTCCACCAAGCTGATATTGGCGAGTATCTTAGAAATGAAGACAATCTCACATAATTTGTGGAACCAATTCCTCTTCACTTTGTTTTTTAATTTTGTTGACAAAAGTATTTTCAATGAACTATTTTATTGTATATTTAAATATTTAAAGAATTGTGTTTTAAAGTCCGAAATCATACAAAATATGTTGCTTTCTTACATGTATTTAAATAATAAATGAATGCATAAAATATTAACAAAATTCAAACAATTGTATTTGATTGACATATGTTTGCAGTCATGCACTTGTTTTAAACACTTGATGCGAAATCAGAATATGATAATTGTTTAAAAGAGTTCCCAAATGTTAGTAATTGATACCTACAGCTCACAATTGAGAGCACCTGTAGTTTGGTTTTTGAATGTACGGTAATGTAATTTTAACAATACTGTAGTGAGTTTTTATCTAAAAGGTTACGTTTGCCTTAAAACTTACAGTTATGTCAGACAATCACTTCAGAACTTTAAATGAAGTGTTTTAAATTCAAATACAAGCTAAAGTTGTATTCATTAAAAATCTTAGAGTTAGTATTAAATTAGTGTACATTTAGAAATATTTACTTTTTGATAATTTATTTTATGAATATGTAGTTAATTGAGTTATATTTTCAATAGATTAATAACACAAAATGTTTACATCATTACAACTTTCATCACAGCCTAAAACTCTTTCTTAAACTTTTACACTTTACACTCATTACAACTTTGTAGACTTTTAATTAGTTTCACATTTTTTAATCAACAGTTACAATATTGTACAACATTGTATAACATTTATTATATAAGTTATCATTTAATTATATAACAACTAAAATATTTTATCGGTTTTACTCATTATTTAATTACTGGCAAAATTATTGAGATGAGATCATCGATATGTTAATACATTCTTCAAAAAATATATTTTAAAACAACTTTTAATATTATAAAAGGAAATCATGCATAAAAAGCAGTTGAGAAAAGTTTGTGAATAGTTTGTAATTAATTACATAATTGTACTTAACTATTGATACATGTATTTAATATACAATATGAAGAGTACGTCTAATATTAATGCATTGAAAATTAATGATTCGTTAAATAAATTGTTTACTTGTTTTGTTGGTTAGAGTTTGTACTCTATTTTATATATTCTCTCAATTTTTCAGACGATTGGTTATATTTAGCACAAAATAAGTTCATTTATAAAATAAAAGTTTTATTTTGATTCAAGTTATCAGATATTAAATAATCTGTTGGGTATTAAGTGATCAAACTTTCATATTAACTAAAGTATAGTTTATTAACGGCATTGACTTCAAGGCTATTATCAAATAATATAAAAATAAAAACAATTTGAATCCTATTTGGAGGTTATATTCTCTATTCATTTCAGGTTATTTTCATTGATTCAAAGTTTGTCTAAATTTTGAATCAAACACAATAAAGCATTTAATTAAAATTGTTGTGATTATATTGAAATTATTGCATTTATACATCTATTTAATGTAAAAATGAGTGCAAACTTATCGGACACTTCGTTGCGGAAGAGAAATCAAAATGAATCAAATCCACGAGAAAGTGATTCTGTATCTAAAATACATAATATTATGCAACTCACAGACCCGTAAGTCTTACATATGTTATTTTAATTTTATTTTAATTTAAATTTTAACTCGATGTTTTATTTTAATATACCCTTAATTTAGTTTAATTAATTTTATTAAATGTTTATTTAATTAAATTTTATTTAGTTGTCATGAAATCAAAGAATCGCTTTTGAGTAAATCAAACAATGAAATCAATTCGAGAGGATTTCTCAATTTAGCACTTGTTTTGCTGGTATTATATATTTTTATTATACACTAGATAATATTTGTTGATATAACATGATAATTATGTTAAATTTAATACACAATGGAATTACAGTATAAAATAAATAGTGATGTTGTACTTCATATTAAATAGAATTGAGGATATTTTATATCTAAAGCTATAATTTAGCCACATATAAATTATAATCAACTATTTTAAATAAGTTATTATAATTTATAATCAGAGATCCTTACTTACATTGTATGCTTTTCTAACTACCCTATGCACAAAATTACTTTTTTTTTAACCATGACATTATTTATTAAATTAAAACACAGTCTTAAATAAAATTAAGTATATAATAATGTAATTGTAAAATTATTGATACTAAAAATTGATATACTGTACAATATTGTGTATTATAAAATAACAACTACACTACACATGACATTAAATATGACATAATTTGAAAATATTTGTCAATGTGTATTTTTACAATATCACAATTTGTATTATATTTCCAATAATAATTTAATTATTATTTTTATTAACACAGGTTTTATCCAACTTAAGGGTAGCCCTCAATAATGTGATTACATTTGGGATACTTATAGATCCGGGGAAATGGACGGCAATACTGATGCAAAATCCGTTATATCGGCCGACGTTTCTATTACTCATTGCTCTCAATATTTTTATAACAATAGCCTTATATATAGAGAAAATTGTGGCCAAAAAACGGATCAGTGAGAAGAGAGCCAACCATTTAATTGTTGCCAACATTGGAGTCATATTAATATCTCCCATAATTGTGAACATATTATTTGAATGCAATTTATTGTTGTCTTCGTTTGTTTGCGGCATTTATTCGGTTGTAATTTTAAAATTAATATCATATCATTCGGTGAACGGTTGGTGTAGAACTGCTATAAGATATGGTAAACCAATCGCCACTTTCCGGGAAGTTAAACAAGAATACCTGAAAATAATTGATACTAAAAATTTAGTCCATTATCCAAATAATCTCAGTGTATGTGATATTTACTATTTCCTATACGCGCCGACACTTTGCTATCAAATCAATTTCCCACAAACGCCGCGAATTAGGATTAGATTTGTTTTAACGCGACTAATAGAAAGTGTAAGTTTGATATCATTTTAAACATTGTTTATTGAAATATTATTTTTTAAAATAATGTTTTAAACCCTTTTATAGGCAGTTCTTCTTCAAATAATAGTTGGATTAATACAACAATGGATTATTCCTGGGGTTATGAACTCATTGGAACCCTTCCAGGATATGGAATATTCAAAAATCATTTCACGATTATTACTATTAGCGGTATTAATCTATATTAAAATATTTTGCCTGATTAACAATTGTTGCATTAAGTTAATACTATTATAATATTGTTACTGTAAACAGATTTGATTTTATATGTTATTTTTATATTACTGTATTTTATTTTAAACAAAATGCTTAGAGATGGATAATGAATTGCTTAAGGAATTTTAAAATATCGGTTGAATCACTAATATTATCTTACTATATATTTTTAATTATAAAACTTTTTACTTAAATATAAACTCTATTAAGACTAAAATGTAATCATATTACTAAATTGTCTAATTAGGTGCCCAACCATATAATATGGCTGATATTTTTCTACACATTTTTCCATTCATTCATGAATCTAATGGCAGAAATACTCAGATTTGGAGACAGAGATTTCTACCACGATTGGTGGTAAGCAATTGTTTGTTACAAAAAATCCAAGCATTTATGACAAACCTATGTTTTTAATGGTCACAGGAATTCCGAAAGTGTGGATCAATTCTGGCAGAAGTGGAATATTCCGGTCCATAAGTGGTGCGTCCGTCACGTCTATAAGCCTCTGGTCTATAGAGGATATTCTCGATTCCACGCCTCGTGTGCTGTATTCATAATCTCAGCCTTTTTTCACGAATACATTGTTTCGATTCCGTTAAAAATGTTGGAGATTTGGTCTTTCGCTGGAATGTTAGGACAAATTCCGTTCGCAATATTTGTCTCGACGTGTCTGAGAAGTAATGCGGCAAACGTTGCCATTTGGTTGCATCTTATCATTGGTCAGCCGCTCGCTATTCTCATGTATTATCACGATTATTATGTAATGCATTTCGCCAAATAGACTTATTTACAGTTATATCAGTTACTATTATTTTCTGATAATTATTCGTGATAACATTTAGTGCCTTAATTAATGCTCAAACAATTTATTCCCAAACAATGCACTATAAATAAAGATTCAATTTTTATAAAACCAAAACATAGTTTCATTGAATACCGAGTCATTCAATAATTGTTTGGTTAATTATATTCAATAATTTGCTAATATCAAGGTCTACATGAATTTTATATATAAAGCGTAATGCAATATAAAACTATATTTTAGTTGCAATTATGAGCCAATATGGATTTAACTTCATTTCTATTCTTATTTAAATATAATTATTAAAATATAATTTTTATTATGTCATTTGGTATTTTACAGAACAATACCTTTATTTATATGTTTTTGATACAATAGATGACAAACAATAGATATCTGTTTGTCAAATATGACAAAAACATATTAACAAAATATATTTTGAAATTTTAAAATATTTTCTAACTTCACTGCAATTAATTGTTGTGTTAATAATTGTTAATAAATGTTGAAATAATGAGTTAATGAATGTGAATTTATTGTCTCGTCATTCTTTCATTGAAATCATATACATAATAAAACTTTACGTATAAAACTTTGATGGTTACGCAACGGCCTATACTTGAAATTAATTTAAATACTTGTCGTCTCATTAACTATTTTGAGTTACAATTGATTTGGTTTGTCATTAAGAAGCACTCGATTGGCGAAAGTTAATAGACATGCCTTTGGATATACCGATTCTGGCAGTGATATGTGTTTGCAGTGTTTTACTGCTAATTTGGTTTATAGTTTGCTGTATTTGCAAGTGTTTGTGTTGTGAATGTTGTTGTTGTTATGAACACCAGTCAGTCGTTTAAGACTATTTAATCCATCCATTGATTCAATTAAACACAATGTCTTTTCTTTATTGGTCTCTTTCTTTCTTTTTATTTTAAACGATCAAAACTTTTTTAAATGGCTTTTAAGAGACAACTGATGTGTCTATCAATAGGAGAAATAGTGAACAAAAGGCAACGATTCTGTGGATATATTCTGGAAGAAAGTCGACAATATTTTTGTTTCGCTTTTCCTTAATAGCAAACGACAAGAAGTGAAGTGAAAGCAAAACAAATAGAGAGACCTATTATTGAAAGAACAAACAATTCAAACATTTATATTTGTTATTATTGTCATATCATGTGTTTGCGAAACCAAAACCAGAATCAACTCATCTCTATTGTGGAAGAGGAGGAGAGGGACGCAAAGAGAGCTCTGGTTTGAACTACAAATTAAATTATTTTATTTTATGCTAATATAACACTAAGTTCTGCTTTTCCAAGAGATTTACTGTTTATGACACGAGAGGACCGATAGATGCTATGATAGCACACGGAATACACTAATACTTGAGTTGAGATACTTATACTTTTAAAATATCATCGTTAAGGCTATTTGCGTATTGAAATAGTATTCAGAGCATTGATACCCGGGTCCGTCGGATGCGCCACTTTGCCAAACACTGCTCTCTCTATTTGCAGAGCCGCCTCTAAATCTATTAAATCCCTCCACAGTTTGACATCAACTGCTATTTTATCGATTCGTGTCTCCAGAGAGAGTCCCATCTGCGCCAAACCAAAACCTGGATCAACCTCTTCAATGCCTCTCAAATTGAATTTTCTCTATTACTTGCTCTCTCTCTCTCTCTCTCTCTCTCTCTCTCTTCCACAATAGAGATGAGTTGATTCTGGTTTTGGTTTCGCAAACACATGATATGACAATAATAACAAATATAAATGTTTGAATTGTTTGTTCTTTCAATAATAGGTCTCTCTCTCTCTCTCTCCTATTGTAAACGAAAACTAATAGCAATGAAATGGAGCACATCTTCTCTTTTACATCCAAAGACAACTCCGAAACACAATCATTACATAGGAATTGATGGAAAGGCAATCAATTATAGACAAAAGTATTATCTTTTTTTCTCATTCTCTTTTAATTCACAATTAAGTCTATTTTAAGCAGTTTTTTGTTTGACATTCAGAACAAAACAATTTATTAATAAAATGAATTAAAAATATTTACAGAAAAGTTTATACATTTATATAATAATATAATTACAAAATAAAGTACTAAAGGACTAGAGGAAGGACTAGAGGAAAGATTTATGGTATGACTCGTGTCTACGGATAACATTTGTTGTGACAAAAAATTATAAACTAATCTCTTGTGAGTACTGTATTCGGTGTATGGGCTGAGAGTTGCGTAAAAGTGGCCGTAAGGCCGACACGTGTACTCTTGATGTGCTCTTCAAACTTATTGGTGATGTGAAGAGCAGTCAAACCCCACACCAAAAGTTAGTTATCATAACTTATGTTGCGATGCACTCAATATTATGACTAGTTTTCTATTATAACAGACAGTGAAACTGAATCGTGAATCTAATTATTCCAATAGTGAGAACCCAATCAACACTCATGAGTGTCGGCACTCTTTGAACAATTCCTTTGCAGTCCTTTCTCTCCATCGAAATAGCCTTCAATTTTGGCTTTTTATTCACAACTATATAATCGTCTTAATTAAATACAAACTCAATTCTGTGGCCATCGATGAGAGGGTGAGCTAAGCGTCCAAAACATGGTTGAGATAAGCGATGTAACAGATGGCCAAACGAAGGATTTCTATTTTGGACAACTTCTTATCGGGCGGTAAAGTCGGCAAAAGGTGTCTCAACTCAGAGAAGGCAACGTTGAAGGCCTCCACTCGGATCCTCTCTCTGGTCGCGTGCGCTAACCTATACTTCTGTGTGGCTCTCCTTCTTCGACGTCTCTCTTCTCGTGTCAAATGTGTTGCTGTCGACGAAGTGTTGCCGTTTGCGGAGTTATCAGTAGTGAGAGCACCACTATTGGAACCATTCCTCATCCTATAGGCCTGATTCCGGCGTATTGTCGCCCGAATAGGGGTTTCACTATTTGCGGACACCATATCTGACGGACTTATGATTGTCTGCAAACCGGTCGGCGATGAACCGATATATGGCACTGGAGTTGTGGGCACACCATTCAAACCGTTGCACTGGTCTCCAGAGTTGGCAACACTTTTAGTGCAAACTGAAACCGCTGTAGAGTTTATGTGAAAATTGGCTGAATTTGTGTTTTCTATATTAGATGTTGAGTTCATACCAAACGAATACATAACTGGGAATCAATGCCTGAAAAATATTCATTAAAAACTATCGGTTACTTCAATACACAGTACGGTTTTGAGAGCACTTATAAAACACTAAACACTTTCTACGGGTATTAACACTTGAAAAATTGATGAAATCTGATATACAAATCATAACTCACCATATATTTGAGAAAAAGAGTCAATCACTGACTTTCTTTTCATATCTTATTTAATGAAATGATAAAATGAAATCAAAAATTCTTACGGACTCTTCAAATTGCTTGCAAATTAGCGTTTGAACAAAAAGTGCGCTCAAAAAACAAGTCACTATACTTTTTAAGGCAAGTATTAATTGTATAATAATAGTAAAGATTTGCAGAAATAAATCAAAGATTAGGCATAAGTGTCGGGAAGTAAAAGCGCAACCAATTGGCGATGCATTGCAACTATTGGTTTGAAAGTTGTTATATTTGCTTATAATTTATCGCAAAGTGTTTATGAATTGATAATTAAGATTACAGACAACGGTTGCAGACATTGTTATCTTCATTTAGTGTCAATTACACACAAAGGAATCAATGCCTGAAAAATATTCATTAAAAACTATCGGTTACTTCAATACACAGTACGGTTTTGAGAGCACTTATAAAACACTAAACACTTTCTACGGGTATTAACACTTGAAAAATTGATGAAATCTGATATACAAATCATAACTCACCATATATTTGAGAAAAGAGTCAATCACTGACTTTCTTTTCATATCTTATTTAATGAAATGATAAAATGAAATCAAAAATCCTTACAGACTCTTCAAATTGCTTGCAAATCAGCGTTTGAACAAAAAGTGCGCTCAAAAAACAAGTCACTATACTTTTAAGGCAAGTATTAATTGTATAATAATAGTAAAGATTTGCAGAAATAAATCAAAGATTAGGCATAAGTGTCGGGAAGTAAAAGCGCAACCAATTGGCGATGCATTACAACTATTGGTTTGAAAGTTGTTATATTTGCTTATAATTTATCGCAAAGTGTTTATGAATTGATAATTAAGATTACAGACAACGGTTGCAGACATTGTTATCTTCATTTAGTGTCAATTACACACAAATACGCGTGACTTTCAATACAATAATTGTATATTTGATAACAATTATTATAATCATAAGTGAATCATAAAATTTTTAATAGAAAAGGTCACTGTTTTGCTCTTAAAATAGAAGTTTTTATTATTTTGTATCAATATTTACTTAAGTATTTCAAACAATTTTTAAAGCATCAAAGTTTGACATTTTGTTGAGTTTTGAATATTTAGTCAAAATTGTTATTACAATTGATTGGTGTTTACTTTTTTAGTAAATCAAAATATTATAACTTTTATGTTAATACAGTTTAGAGGGAATGACCGCAAGTTTGTGTCCACTCTTGGGATTTAGTTTAGGGTTAAAAGAAATCAAATTAAGTGTATAACGGAAACTCTTCTAATGACTTATGATAAAAGCCGACAAATTATATTAATACAGTAATTAAATAATGTATAATTTAACTAAATTTATACAATTGTTGAGAGAGAGAGAGAGAGAGAGAGAGAGAGAGGTTTTAAAAATTTATACATCACATGCTTTACAAGAATATACTCAGAAGTTATATGCAATGAATTTAAATAAAAACAATTGATATGTATTTAATTCTTACGGTTTCGATGAATATCGCAATCGTTTGCAATAATTGAAATATTGAGAGCATTTCACGCTATTATTCCGACTCTAACGGGACTTTCGCGTCACTAATAAGTTTTAGTGACTCTCTTGGGCTCAATATTAGCATAAAAAGAGTGAAAATAGTGGCCAAACACTGGTCTCCAAACACCAATTGCACCAAAAATGCGGTCCCAAAACCAAATGAGTCACAAAAACTGATCATCAGTTCTGACATGAGATGCAAATGCAATGAAGAGTGAAATGAAATTTTGGATACTTTTTAAAACAACCAGAATTTCAATAGTTTTCAATCATGCAGTTTTTTGTTTGCAATTG